ATTTCAGCCCACCCCAAGTCAGATCCTGTGCACAGATGCAAAGCATGTTAGCCATCTGTCATATCATGTTAGCCACCACGGCTTCCTTCACACGGTGTTTCTGCACTTGGGGGGACAGCTCAGTAGGGGTACCCAATAGATAGCTTTGTTGTCAGGGGTCAGGATATCTAACTGTGGAGGGCAACAGAGCCTTGAGCTCTAACCCTAGCCTGCACCCTAATTCAACCGTGTGACTCCATGGGCGGTGTGCTGTCTCTGGACCTGTTTTCACAGCTGTAGGCAGGGTTCCGGAGTCTGGGTGGTGCAGGTAAGTAAGTGGTTGGCTGTTCATGAAACGGTTGGCCATTTAAACACCCTCAGGGGTGTGTCAGAAGAATGACCTACCAGCCTGCCTCTGAAAGAGCCCAGCCATGAACACCGAGGAGAGCCTGCTGTCGCCATGAGGTGGGACTTCCTCCACAGCAGCTGCCTTTCGTTTGGTCTCCACGGAAGTTCCCGATGCTCCTTTCATGTAGTTATCGCAAGGGATAAAGAAGCAGTGTCTCGTGGGACAATCAGAGCTGGAAGCACAGGGCATCCAGGACCAACAACGAGAGTAGCCATCCCAGCAGGGGAAGGGGAAGGCGGGGGAGAAAGGGGAAACCGATCACAAGGATCTACATATCACCCCCTCCCTGGGAGACGAACGACAACAGAAAAGTGGGTGAAGGGAGACATCGGACAGTGTAAGACATGAAAAACATTGTTTAAAATATAAATTATCACGGTTTGGGCAGGGAGGGAGGGGAACAATGAGCTGAAACCAGGGGCTCAGGGAGAAAGAAAATGTTGACCTGGAGAAGCTCTTGGAGAGGTCAGGTAGGGAAGTGAGGCTACAGGTCATGCTAATTGAAGGGTTTGGGATTTTGATGCTCATTGCCACCGAATTAGCTCCCTGAGACCATGGATAATGAGAAGGTGGCTCTGTGGAGGCAGTTTGATGTGTGGTCAGCCACTTTCCCTCTCACCTACTTCTGCTTTAAAGTGGGGTCATTAAGGCCCCGTCAGGGTAACAAAGACCATTTGAAGCCTAAAACTCATTTGCTGTTGTTTTAAACCTGTAAATCATATTCATACAAGTCCATGTCACTTTGGGGTTCGGCCTTTGCCCCGGATGAGCCAGAGCCCTGTCCACATGAGTTCTCTCACCCCTTCTGTCCCCATTCCCACCTCCACTTTCTTTCCGGCCTTCAGGCCTTCAGGCTCCACCCGCTGCCATCTTCTTTCCTTCCCACCGCCTTCAGCAGGGCACGCCTTATCTTGGTTTATGGCTGTTGTGGACAATATACCCAGCAAGAACGTGCACCAATTTTAGGATTTCCACGTGCACCATGGGTGACATTCTTAACGTTGTGTGGCCATTGTTCTCCTTTGCAGAACTGTTCCTCCACTACGGTACGTGCACTGAGCCCCACGTTCCGTGTCATCTCTCAGGGTGCTCTGACCCCATGTAGATAGTCCCACTTTTCATTGGTTGACACAGTGAAGTTCTTAAGACCAGGTCATTATGCAAAAATCGGTAGTCTGTGAAAATGGAGGATGACCCCGTCATGGCATCCCTGGCAAACCCCAGAACCATGGCCGCCCAGAGCCTCAGCTGTCACAGCAGTGTTAATCTTGTCAGTACTTTCACGCTCATTACTGACAGACAGATGGATTGCTGGTCGGATGGATTTTCCATGATGGTAAATGCAAAATGTCGGAGAGCGAGGCAGTTGATAAGTGAGGAGTGGGTATCATTTTTAAAGGGCACGATCCTCCAGGCAAACATTCTGCACTAGTTAAACCAAATACCTTTTTGGTTTCTAGAGGTGGTATTCCTGGGTTAAGGGTTAAAAATGAGCGCAGGGCAATCGTTGGTAGTGTTCGGCCAACCCTGTAGCTCCAGGAGAATGCAGCCTTCTAACAGTAGCCTCAACTGGCAGTGCTCAACTGAGGATGGAAGAAACCGAAGGCTGACCTCAGCCTTGGCCTACCTGCCTACGGGGCCCTTAGCAAGCACACAGCTGCCAGGGGCTGGCGGGCGGGCGGAGCTGACCTGGGCTGGGGAGCAGATTGTAGATGATCTGAAGCCCAGTGTGCCCCGTCCTTGTCTGCCGCTGGGCCTACTGTCCACAGCCTGATCTCCCCGACAAAGAGTGCACGCGTGTCTGCTTCTTCATGTTAACCTCTGAGCGCCGGTGTCTTCTCAAACAAGAGCAGGCCATTTACTTATTCTGTGGGCCTGTGGGGTCCTCCGCAGGCTGTGGACAGTGGCTATTTTTGGTCAGCAGGTTTTAGAGAAGCAAACAGATCATCTTCCACTCTGCTTTTGAGAAGAAAACCTGTTGGTCTCTGAAGACAGGCCCACGCCCTTTGTCTCTGAGGCTGAGCAGAGGAGCCTTGTGGAATCTTGGACTCAGGAGGGCTCCCTAGGGAGCTGCAGTGGGTGGCTGAGGCACCCTCCCAGATGCAGCCTGGTCTCAGCTTTTCCAACTTGCTTCTCTGTGTTCCCTGGCAATCTCCACATGACATCCACTTTGCCTTATTTGTGCTTGCCCCCTCCATGCCTAATCTGCTCCTTTTAGATCATTAACAAGATGGAAGCCCTGTTCCTAGATGGGATTCCAGCCACAGGGAGAAGGGCTGGGATTCCAGCAGGTGTCTTTGTGGGCCGTTGGGGTAGGGCAGTGACATGATGATATAATGTCACAGGGAACGCTGGAGAAGGGCTGTCTGACGAGGGGCCCTGGAGAAGCACCCCCACCCGCCATAGTGGGCCCAGGTGTCTAGCAACTTTTCCTGCTCAGACGTCCGGGATCACCAGGATGGGCAGTGTGTGTCTGGCACCCAAGACCCATGTGGGGTCTGCAGAGCCTTCCCGTGCTCCTCAGACTCCACCGAGCTCTGCAGTGTTGACCCCCGCTGACAACCGGAGGTGTTACATAAGCGTGGCGGAAAGGGACGCTTGCCATGTGAGGGAGATGGGATAGGCGGACAAGCAGCAGCAGCAGCTGTGAGACAGAGGGGTCTGGCCCGGAGAAGAGGAGCGCTGTTCTCTATTGGAAAGCGAGGGGGTTCCCGTTCTACAAACTACTGATCTTGGAGGTCAAGCTGTGCAACTGTCATCCTGTTACACAGAATGCTCTGGGCACACATCGCTGTGGGGCTGTACCAGCTGCCTTCTTGGTCTTGTGAGGTGTGGGCAGCTGCCTTGTGGCTAGGCACACCAAGCCAGACCTAGGGTGGTGAAGCGACTTAGCCAAGGCTGCCTTAGGGCAGGTCTTGAACGCAGGCCTCCTGCCTCCGGAGCCAGTGCCCCGCTGTTGGTGTGAAAGAGGCTGCACACAGGAGAAATGAAGCCCTGGCGTCCTGGGGCACAGCTGAACCTAAGCCGGCCACCCAGGACAGCTGTGTGATCTTTGTTCATACGAAATGGAACTCTACGGTGCCCTGGTGGCACTGTGGGTTAGGTGTTGACTGCTAACCTCAACGTCCGAGGTTCAGACCTACCAGCCCCTCCTTGGGAGAAAGCTGAGGCTGTCTGCGCTTGGAAAGATGTGCGGTCTCAGGAACCCTGTACAGGGTCCCCGTGAGTTGGAACCAATTTGTAGTGGGGTTTTTTGTTTTTTTTTTAACATTTTATTAGGGGCTCATACAACTGTTATCGTAGTGGGTTTTTTAAGACAAGGAAGCCGACGTCGCTTAGTGGTTTCCAGGGGGAGAGGAAGTGGGAAATGAGAGCTGGGGAATCATGGGAAAGGCCAGGGCGAGGGTGGCCTGGGGTCCCTGGCTGATGCAAATGATGAATGCGCTCCCTGCTGACTGAAGGGTGAGAGGTTGGGGTGCACCCGGAGATCCCTAAGCAGAAAGGCCTGGCGATGTGCACCCCCAGGCAGCCCGAGCCGTGGAGCACGGTGTGGCTCGTGACACGTGGGGCTGAGTCCCAGGTGACAGCCCATGGCTGCTTCAGGGTTGGCCGTGCAGTCAACCTCAGTGAACTGTATTCGTGAAAACAGCCCAGTTGGCAAATGTTACATATTTTTACCACAAACTCACCCTTCAAAAAGACAGAGAGCCCGGAAAAACTCTCAACAGGTACTAACCAAGTGTGTCGTGAGAAGTGTCTGCAATGAGCAGGAAGCGAGGGCCACGTGGTCATGCCACGGGATAGCAGCGGGGTCCCCAGGACGCGAGGGCGCTGCGTGAGCGCGGCTTCCTGTGTGTTCAAACCAGGTGCCAGCCGGATTGTCAGGCCTGTCGGTCGAGGCTCGAGGAATAAACCAAAGAAAGCTCATCCCGTTTTGTAACCTTCCTGTTTTCGGAAAGACTCCAGGAGGCGGCAGCCCGCAGTCTAGGACCTCAGCAAGCACGGCAGAGAAGACCTTCCGTGCTGTTGACCTCTCTGCAAAGGCAGGGCCAGGGGACAGCAGCACTTGATAGGAGGCAGCTTTCACTGTCTGTCGGGCTGTCCAGGGAGGGACTCGGTGACAGAGGACAGTGCCCAGCCCCCACCCCACATCCTCACAAACCCCAAGACTGTGCTTGGCCCATGGATGAAACCGGGAATTCTTGCCCCGTCCCTTTGAGCCTGTGGCCTGTACCTTCAGCAGACATGTAGGTGTGTGTGTGTGTGTGTGTGTACTGTTTGTTTTTAATCCCTTCTGATGCCATCACAAATACGGCGTCTCACCAACGAGGTGACTGAAACAACTGACTGTCCGTGGTACTGATCCCTCCCACAGGCCACCTGTGGGCATCGCCGTTTTTTGTCATCCCCCACAGCAGCTTGTCGTCTCACCTCCGACAGTCGCTCTTGACCTCGGAGTGAGGAGGAACGGGCCTGGCCTCCCGTGGGTGAGCAGAAGGCCAGCGCTGAGATTGGAGTTGTTCCGGGACCCATAGTCAGAGTCAGTTTGTCTGTGACTGTTCCCGCCCCAGTCTCCGTGGTAACCCCGGCTTTCCTGTTTCACACCCTGCAGATGTGAAGCCCTCCAACGTCCTGGTGAACTCCCGCGGGGAGATCAGGCTCTGCGACTTTGGGGTCAGCGGGCAGCTCATCGACTCCATGGCCAACTCCTTCGTGGGCACGCGCTCCTACATGTCGGTATGAACCCTGCACTCCGTGCCTCACGCGGCTCCTGTCAGAGACGGCCAATGGCTGTGGACACGGGCCTCGCGTTGGGTGGTGGAAGACAGCAGTCTGTGGGGAGGCGGGCTTGCGCTTGGACTTGGGAGCACGGTTGGCGTATTGGGATCACAACTCCTGCCACCACCTGCACCCAGAGGCTCCCCACATCTTGACTCTCATTCTGAAAGATGCTATGTGCCAGAAACCCTGGGCACCCTACCTGATGACCTGCAGAGCCTCCAAGCCAGCAGGGCCCGCATCGGCTCTCCTTGCCCATCGCATCGGCTCTCCTTGCCCATCAGTGTAAATGGCACCCTGCTCCCCTGGCTTCCCAGGAGAGGAACCTGAGCACCTGCATTTCACCTCCCTTCCCAGCTCATCCCTGCTGCCCCACGCATGGCTGCCTTAGCACCGTCTCTTCCCTTTCCTGGGGAAAGAGCCCCGAGGAGCTACGGCCTGTAGATAGCTTGTCCTCGGGACGTACTCGGCCAGTGGCGCCTGTTAGTGGAGAGCCTTGGACAGTGAAGGGCTGAGGCTGAAGGGGACAGAGCAGAAAGTGTTAGGGTGGGTGAGTGGGGGGTGCTCCCAGAGGTGGGGGCAGTCTAGAGGCAAGGCTCAGGTGCTTCCAGCACAGGCCAGGAGGGCTTCTTGTGCTCTTTAAAAGCACTTCGCATACTCCAGTGGTCTCCTTCGATTCATCTAATTATCTCAGGAAACAAAGATGAGAGCTCCCATTTCAGAGGTGAGGAAATCTAGATTGGAGGCGGTGAAATGGTTTGCCCACTGAGCCTTCAGAGGCAAGATCGGAAGCTGGTCTCCACCTTGCATGCCCTTACCTGCCTCTTGGTTGGCCTTTGGCAGCTCTGTGTGGAAGTTATGTCCACACCCTCGTTTCTTCTTGTGGTCCCCTACCTCAGCCCAGACCGGTCAGTGCCAACATCACTTCCCACCCTCTCCACCAGTGACCCTTCCTCTTTTAGAAACACACCCACCCACGGGTCCTTCAGCACCCACTGCTCACCACTCCTCTCAGTGTCCAGTCGCTGAGCAGCTTGCACCCGAGGGCCTCGACTGCCAGCTCTCAACACCCAGGAACGTATTGATCCAGGGTTTAATGGCTTGGTTTTTGTGGTTCTTTGGTCAATTACAAAACAGATTAGTTTTGGAGTTAGTGGAAATTCCTATAGAAGAAGTCAAAGTGAACACTAAAGAAATATACCATCGTCTGAATAAACAACCAAAAAACCCCCGACTCCCTGCCATCGAGTCAATGCAGACTCACAGCGCCCCCTGTGGGTTTCTTTTGAACAGTTTTATTGGCACATGATTATAATTTATTATAATTATAGCTTATCATACAATTCAATAGTTGTCTCCTATCAATAAGAATTGTGTAATCATTACCATATCAATTTTAGGATATCCTCCCTTCCCATGGTTAAATCACCTTTAAAATGAGTTGTGTAATCATGGTCAGTCCTAGTGCCTTCCCCACTCCCACCTTCCTGAAATCCCCTATCAACCCCTTGATAGTATCAGTTATTATCTCTATGCATCCACCCTGTGCTTCACACACTGGGAACCCCAACAGAAACAATGCAAACCCAAATCAAAATAAGGTGGTATGGATAAAATTATAATACAAAAACCAAATACAAATAGTGAGTAAGCAAGCAAATACATTGATGCAAATGATGGGGGTTGGAGTGGGGAGACCCAAAGCCCATCTGTAGATAATTGGACATTCCCTCACAGAAGGGGCAAGTCAGCCAGGATGCAGCATAGCATCGAGGGAACACACAACAGTCCTCTAGTTCTTTAATACTCCCCCCGCATTCTCATGACCCCAGTTCTTTCGTACAGATCCAGCTAGACTGGAGCATGTGCACTGATGGTATAGGTAAGAGATCTCAGCAATGGGAGTAGTGATTCCATGAGAGTAGGGGAAGGTGGGGAAAAGGGGAAACTGATTGCAATGATGAATGTATACTCCCACCTCCAGGGCGAGGAACAACAGAACTGTGGGTGAAGGGAGACAGCAGACGGTGTTAGATATGAAAATAATAATTTATAATTTATCAAGGGGTCATGGAGTGGGAAGCTGATACCAAGGGCTCAAGCAGAAAGAAAATATTTTGAAAATTATGATGGCAACTTAGGTACAGATGTTTGGTACAATTGATGTGCGAATTGTTATAAGAGCCATAAGAACCCCCAATAAAACCATTTATTAATTAAAAGAGTAAATTAAGAAAGAAAAGACCCCAATCAACATTTAAAAAGCCAAGTCAATGTGTGAGTCAGGGTTGACTAGAGAAACAAATTCACACACACACACACCCACACAAACATGAACTTTTATCAAAGAATAATTGTATATAAAGAGAACATCCCAGCCCGGTCCAGATCAAGTGTATGTGTCCAATATGCCTGACCCGTGCAGCACATCAATGATGTTGAATGTAGGACAGCCACAGGCCTGTAGCTGAGAAGTCTTGTGACTCCAGTGGTGGTGGAGCATCTCAGGGACCTGGCACATGTCTTCACATGGCTCCTCCACAGGAAGGTAAAGCAGAAAGAGAGCGTGGCCCACCTCCAGGGAGAAAGAGGCATTTCCCAGAATCCTTAGAGAAGGCCACACCCACACAGAGACATTATTGGCTGTGACCTGATTGACAGACGAGGCTCCACTCATAATACTCTCAGGTTGAAATGAGGTTGTGTAACTACCAAAGCCAGGGAAGAAATTGCTGTTGTGGAAGAAGACATATAGAACCAAAGCAGGTGGGGTCTATAGGGAGTCACCTGGTCAGTGTGGAGTGTGATGGGCATATTCAGGATCCCAGTGGTCTCTGCCTGATAGATAGTAAGGCTGTTGGAGACCCTTGCCTGTGGCTCAAGCAGATCCTCCAGGGCCTCAGTGTGACCAGATACTCTGCAGAGGGGGTTTGGGCTCCCCCTGTCCTCTGTAGCCTTTTACAAGGTGGGTGTTTGTACTTCTAGTACTGCTACTTCTCCCTTCACCATATTCAAATTTTGTAATTGTCGCCTTTGGATCACACATGTTATTCACAGACTCATTGTGTTACGGGAGTAAAAGGTCGTCTCTCTTGTGGAGCTGCTGGTGGTTTCGAACTGCCGACCATGAGGATCTCCATAGTCTGAATAGTAACATGAATTTCACTTAAGGTTTTTGAAATACGTGTGCTATTTAAAATACTGTTGTATAGCACTATATTCTCCCTCTTCTTTTTTATTCTTCTCACCAATAGCCACTCTTAATTTGCCGTATTTTACAACATCTAACATACATGTTCATTTGGTTTGACCTTCTGAGTAACACTGTACATTAGATTGTTGTTAGGGCCTGCCACGTTGATTTCGGCTCAGAATGACCCCATAGAGCTGCCCCACGCAGTGTCCAGACTGGAATCTTTACAGGGGCCGACTGCCAGAACTTTCCCATGGCACAGGTGGGTGGCTATGAGCCACCAACATTTGGGTCAGCGGTCCAGCACGTAACTGCTGCACACTGAGGTGGGTATTGCTACTGTTACCACCGTCATCAGCAGGCCTTTTCATAGACATGGAAACCGGCTCACAAAGTCTGAGTCCTGGAGTTGGGCTGCGAACGCAGAGCCCCTCCCTCCGCCTTGTCTGCTGTTCTCTATGCCCAAGGACAGCTGCTGGGTCAGTGGCAGAGAGGGTCTTAGAACTCAGCTTTCTGAGAACTTGCAGGCTGGAGCCCTTCCCACCCACTACACCCCCCTGGTGACCTGTGTCCTAGACCCTCGTGCCGCAGACCCAAGTGACAAGGTGAGCTTCTGACCCGTGCCTTGGTTGGCCTGCTGCACTGCGCAGGACTGTGGTCAGTTGGGGCAAAACTGGACCCATGGGCTGACATGGCAGTCAGGGCCCTGCCCAGGTGGGTGTGGTCAGCTCAGGGGAAAGGGAGGGTCAGAGCCAAAGGCTCCACCTTTGAGGACAGCCTCCGGGCCCAGGTGCAAGACCAAGTTCAAGAGGTTAGTGAGTTATGCACCAGAAAGGGCTGGCAGAGAGAAAGTGGAGCCTCCCTGCCCTTTGGGGCAGACCGCTCTAGCAGCAGGAAGCTTGGCTGGCCTGTAGCCCTCTCAGAGTCACGCACAGCGACTGACTGACTGCCCCTCTCTCCCGCAGCCCGAACGACTGCAGGGCACTCACTACTCGGTGCAGTCGGATATCTGGAGCATGGGGCTCTCTCTGGTGGAGATGGCGGTGGGCAGGTACCCCATCCCCCCTCCAGATGCCAAGGAGCTGGAGCTGTTGTTCGGGTGCCATGTGGAGGGAGATGCAGCCGAGACCCCGCCCAGGCCGAGGACCCCTGGGAGGCCCCTCAGCTGTGAGTTGCTTACTGTCGGAAGGTTCTAGAGGGTTGGTTATTTGTGCCCAAGTCCAAGACTGATTTCCAGGCCCTGGTGTCAGCAGGGTTCAGGGTGGACAGAGGGCCCCTGGTGAGTACAGGACAATAGGCTGTCGTCATCTGCTTGCCCCAGGCACGGGCCTACCTGTTTCTAGGCAGTGTCACATTGACCTTGCTTTTTAAGTCATGGCATTTTCCTGTTTTGGTAACTTTTTAAATTTTGTAAAATTCACCCACATAAAAATCCCTTTTTGAAAGCACAAAAACCTCTGGCTCTGGCTCTAGGCACCCCGGTGAGAGCTGTCACCACCTCCCATTCGGGGACATTGCCATCGTGTGTGTTAGCAGTCACCCCTGTCGCCTGGCAACCAAGAATCTACTTTCTACCTCAGTAGATTTCCTTGGTAGCGTTACCTATTTTAGCAACAGCCCTGTGTGGGCGCACTTCTAGCATCTGATATTACAGATGAGGAAACTGAGGCAGAGAGCAAGCACTTGGCTTTCCAAGACCGTATAAGCTTGTAGACAGCCGAGTCTGACTCCCAAGATGATCACTGTGAGGCAGTACCACCAGCCTGTGACGTGAACCTGACCTGAGGGAAGATTCTGGCCCAAACATCATCTTTGCATGTAGCTTCTGCTCAAAGGCTCTTGTCTGACCAGGGCCATCTGCTTCCTAAGGTCCACACAGGAGAGAGTGTGTACGGAAGGAGTTGTGGAGTGGATGATGGGGGAGGGGTCATTGAAAGGGCTGGTCCCCAAGGCTGGCCTAACCCTAGGGTCTTGCTTTGGGTTACACTATGTCCCCCCAAATTAGTGTTGTAAAGTCTAACCTGTCTGCCTGTAGCTGGAATTGCATCTTGGAGTGGGTCGGCCTTACCCTGTTAATGAGACAGGATCAGTATGGGTGTCTCCCGAGTCAGTCTCCTTAGAGATACAAAAGAGATGGAGCAAGTGTCCGAGAGACAGGAGGGAGGCGGGGGTCACCAAGGAGCAGGTGGTCAAAAGAGCCTGCAGAGAGACAGACAGCCCTCCTCTGCAGGCAGCACCCTGCCGGTGGACGGTGAGCCTCTCTCCGAGTTCAAGGCACCCGTGTGTTCTCTTACGGCAGCACTAGCTAAGTCGGGAAGGAGAAGCCCCGATTTGGGGAGAAATGAAAACCCAGGTCCGGGCACAGTAGCTCACGTGCTCCTCTCTGCACACTGTAAGGGCGGGCTGAAGGAGGAGGGGAATTGCATTATCTACCGACCCTTTCCAACACTCCCGATAGAGGCTCTGGGGCCGGCTGACTTGCTAGTGCCCTCTGTGGCTCTTCTGGTCTTTGTGACCTTGTTCTGGCTCCTGCTCTCACCCTGTCTGTTTCTGAGGAGGGTTTTCTTTCAGCTTATGGAATGGACAACCGGCCTCCCATGGCGATTTTTGAGTTGCTGGATTACATCGTCAATGAGGTAATACCACCTGGCTTCTCCCACCTGGGAATTGTCTGCTGCTCTCAAAAAGCCCACCACTGTGTTGGCTGGGGAACCTGTGGGCCCCAGGGGTCCCTTGCTCTGGTCTGTGTGAGATGCTCTCGGCTGGCTCAGAGCGTGCTGGGGTCCCTTCCCAAGGAGATGCCTTCAGGTAGCCCCGAGTCGTACCTCCTTCTCAAGATTCAGCAGCTCCACTCAGCCCGCTTCTGCTCCGCTCCTGCACGCACCCGGCATTTCCCACGAGCTGTGCCCATTTGGCTGGGAAGGAGTGGGTCAGAGAACAAGTCTCGAAGCTGTGTCAAGGAGGCATAGGAGGCACGGCAGATGCATCGGGGCTCCCTCTTCACCAAGAGCCGGTGAAAAGCCAAGAACACAGAACTGCCAGTGTCGAAGTAGACACGGGCTGACGGTCCCTACCAGTTGCTGCGGAACAAGCCTCGCTTACAGAGCAGTTATGTAATGTTAGCCTCCGTGTTTTAAAAGTTATGCATAGGAAGGGGACGTGAACATTTCGTGGGAAAGGTCAGGACAGAGGGCGGTTCTAACAGGAATTAGAAAGAGCCCAGAGCCCTTGACCTCAGGGCAGCCGCTGGCACCCACTGTTCTCTGCGGAGGAAGAGCTCCAAAGCTTAATCTTTGGCCTCAGCTCCGAGCAGGAACCTCGTGGGAGCCACAGCCGCCCTAGCACAGGGCCTGCAGAGGGCCCACCCTCCCGGGGCAGGTGGCTCGGGAGCACATGCTCTGGGACCTCGTGCTGGGCCGCCGCCCTCTGCTGCCAGTGCTCTTGGTGTGTTGCCTGGAAGGCCGGCTTCCTGGACTGTACAGCTCACAGCCTCCCAGGGCTGGCCCTCTGCCAGCGAATGAGTGTTCCCTTCACCTGGGTCTGCCCCACAGGCCCAGGAAGAGATGGGCTGGTTTTGGCATCCTGTGCCTCCTGCAGGGCCCGGTGATGTGCACAGTCCCTAGCTGTTGCTGCTAGTCACTGTGGCTGTTTCTCTGCCCCCCTTGCAAGATTGAGACCTGTGGAGCCCCAGAGATGACTTGGCCCAACCCCCCGTTTCTTACAAGGGCAAACTGGGGCAGAGAGGAACAGTGATTTGCTCAGTCACTAGAAGAATGAGTGGCAGAACACTAACCTGAGCCCAGTTTTAACTGTGACCGTGGTTCCAACAGGGTGACCAGGCAGGCAGCCAATGGCCCTCTCCCTGAAAGTGGGGGTTTGAGGGTGGGAAGGAGGTAGTCAGGGGATCCAGGCGTTTCTCATGTCTTCCATGTGTTTACAGCCTCCTCCAAAACTGCCCAGTGGAGTGTTCAGTGTGGAGTTTCAAGATTTTGTGAACAAATGGTAAGTGGACGGGCAGGGTGGCTTCCTCAGGCTTGCACCCACGCTTGCTTCTGCTGAACACGTCCATCCCGTCCTTGTCCTTGCCTGCTGCTCCTCCCCGGGCCAATGGCCGGAGGGAGGGATCTCCTGACACCACGGGCACCGCAGTGGAGGGGATAGCCGCTCTTGGCACGCGCTTCAGAGAGCAGCCCAGGGCCTTCTGATGATAGTCACCCACCGGCTGTGGGTGTGGCGCCGTGCTGAGACCAGGAAGAGGGAGCCGGCTCAGGCACACCTCACAGAGCAGAGCCCACATGCAGACGCAGCTCTGATGGGAACCCAGCACGGTGCTATCACACTTTCCCTCTTCCTTTCAGCCTCATAAAAAACCCTGCCGAGAGAGCAGATTTGAAGCAGCTCATGGTGAGTCCGTTCTCTTGCGATTCTTCCAGTAGCTGTTCATTCCCTTTCACTCCAGCCGCTCGGCCTGGTGCTTCCTGCGCTGAGCACTGCGGCCCGCTGGCCCAGGGCTGCAGCACCCTAAGTGCCAGTCTCCCGGGCCTCCCATCGGTTGAAAGGGAGCTGGCTGACACCAGCCGTGAGGGGAGGAGTGTGAGGTGGTGAAGGAAAGAAACCGGGAGGGAGGGAGCTTGTTTCTGAGACCGATGGCTTCCGTCACACTCTGCACATCCCCCTCCCCTCCTCGGCTGTGGGGGCTGGTACTGTCAGCACCCTCCCAGGCCCCTCGCTCCCTCCGTTTCTGTGGCAGCTGTGAGGTTTATAGAAGGCAGGCTGCCGCCCCGTTTCTGGCTCAGAGGTGAGTGTCCTCCCAGCCCGTGTGACCGGCTCCGAGGGCTATCATTGGCCCTCCTGTCTGGACCCCAGGAGCGCCTCCCAAGTGCTGCACGAGCTGCAACCCCGAGCCTCCAGGGCTCGTGTAACCAACCCCTCCTTGCCCTGTTCTCCCACATCCAGGTTCATGCTTTCATCAAGAGATCTGATGCCGAAGAAGTGGATTTTGCAGGTTGGCTCTGCTCCACCATTGGCCTTAACCAGCCCAGCACCCCCACGCACGCAGCTGGCGTCTAAGCGTTCGGAAAGCAGCGGAGAAGAGCCCCCGGCCATGTTGTTCTGGGCCCCATTCCCCTGCCTGCCTCCACTCAGATGACAAGCGATGACGAACACAGCATGTGCCAAAATTCTTCTTGTGTTAATTTTTACTGGTTGTCTTTACTCTTAACACGATGATTCTTCTTCTCCCAAGTGGATTGGCTGTGTGCTTGGGGCATTTTGTGTATGTTGATGATCAGAACAGGTGCAGTGCTGAATTTCAGGGGTGATTGTGGGCAGCCATTCTTACTGAAAACCATACTGCTGTCATCTCACCATGACTAGCTGGCCAGCCGTCGTCAGGACTCCCTGACGCCTCATGGTACTTCTTCTGCCAGGTGCGCCTCCCTCCGCCTGAGGCCGGCGGGCGCCCTTGGCCCTTCACAGGCAGCGCATTTGAAGCATGCTTTGCTGCTATGTCGTGAGCATCAGAAAGCGTACGTCCTGTTCCTTTAGCAGTAGTGTTTGCTTTTGATGTAGAATTCAGCATTTCCCACCGCATCTAGCCAGAGCCCCTCACTGCCACAAGACCAGGACTTCTCTAGCCCATCGACCGGGATGATATGTAGGCTTCTGGTTATATTTCTCTATTTATTTTGAAATCTGTGTGGAATTATTTAGTGGTGTTCTCGCTTTATGTTGGGATTAATGTTTCTAAAATAGATGAGTTATTTTGATTGTCACAAATGGATCAAGGCATTAAAGTGTGTCTGATTTCTTTCTCCTTAAATCCAAGTACTGATGCTATTGTAAACCAAGTGTGTATAGTGCCTAATAAAAATGATATGAAAGTCATTTTACTCATCTTAATCCAGCTATCTGACAAGTCTAATGTCTCATTCTAATAAATGTAGTAGCGAGTTTTAAAAAAGGGATGAAAGTTGTTTCCACAGCCTATGGTTTTCAGTTTCTGCTGCCCCTAGCCACGAGTCGTGTCATGGAGGGCAGTGAAAGCAGGCTGGGGAGCCCCTGGGGCCGGCCCTCTTCGGCTTCCAGTTTTCACCTCTTCTCACCCGTTCCCCTTCCAACCACAGACACCTGGAGTGGGGATGGAACAAATCCTAAGACCACCGCCACCGGTTCTTATTTTCCATACAGTCAGCCCAGGCCTGGGCTGCCCAGCTCACAGGGCAGTCTTGCTGATGGGCTGGCCGCTGGAGCCACTGCCCGCAGTCAGTCCCGAGCTGCTGCCCCATGTTCGGCAGTCGTCTCCCACCTTCTCAGTAACACTGAGCCACACCTGCCCGGTGAGGAGGGATGCCGCGGGTGCCTCCGAGGTCGGTGAAGTGTCGGCACACACAGCCGGGCCCTTTTCCTCTTGGGGTAAGATGCAGGTGCGCTGCAGGTGGCTGCCTCTCCCTTTACTTCTTTGAAAGGGCAGCGAACAGGGAACCAAAGCCAAGGTCTTCATAAATCATGAGACGCCTTCTTGTTCGTATGAAAACAACTTGGGGAAATGGTCTCCTGATAGATAGTCCAGCCTGGATCTACCAAGGCTTGGCTACAAGCCAAGGTTCTCAAAACTGGCCATGCGGCTGAAGCTAGTCATTTCTCCTCGCTGCACGCACCTGTCCTCAGTCAGATTCAACATAAACACTATGGTTTAAGAGCCACACGCTCCTCACACCTCCACTACCGAGAATATGTCTAAGCCCACGAGAGGAAGGATGGTTGGTGTAACCTAGTGCCTGACGCCAGGATTAAAACATTCGCTAAACACTCGAACGTATTGTATTTGCAGTTAAAAACAAACATTTCCCTGGTGTGTTTTCTCAGTTCTCAAGAATGTCTTCCAGAAGAGTCTTGCAGTGTTCTGGGTTCGCAGTGCCTGAGCCCTTCCTCAACTTTCCCTGCGACACAAACGCGCAGTTGGACTTCCAAACACGCCCTTCCTTGTTGGGTGCGGTCTGGCCGCGCTAGCTCACAGCAGCCCCATGTGAGCGAGAGCTCTCCGGGCTGTCTAGGCTATATTCTGAGAGCAGAGGGACAGGTCTTGTCCTGTGGGGATGCTGGGTGGATTCAAACCACCAGCATTCTGGTTAGTGGACAAGCAGTCCATCCATCCACACCACAACCCCCAACCCATACTCAACTCTAGAGAGAACCTTTCACACTGAGAACCGTCCCCTAGGGTTTCTGAGACTGAGTCCTTCTGGAAGTTGCCAGCCTGCCTCGTGGCTGCTGGAAGCAGTGACCTTTTTGGTCTTAGTAGCCCAGCGCTTCAATCACCAGAACAACTCTTGTCCCATATGGGCTCCTTAAAAACTTCCCAGCTTTTGAAATTGCAAGAGCAGATGTGACTGTCCTGAGAGACGGGAAGGTGAGATTTGCAGAAGCGATAAGGCAAGCCACAAGTCTGGTACAGCAAGAACTCAAAACCAATTTGTTTTCCACATCTGAAAAACTCACGCTTACACCGAATTACACTCCAAAATCTGCACCTTGTTTTTTTATTTAAAAAAACATTTCATATTGGGTTTTCCAAGAAACAGCTCATTTACCCTTCTGGCTACTTCCTTAGAAGAGTTCCTCAAAACTGCTCTCATCAAAAGGCAGTTAGGAAGGGGATTCGCATGCTCTTACAGGGCAGTTAGGAAGGGGATCCGCCTGCTCTTGCAGGGCAGTTAAGAAAGGGATCCACATGCTCTTACAGGGCAGTTAGGAAGGGGATCCACATTCTCTTACAGGGCAGTCAGGAAGGGGATCCGCATTCTCTTGCAGGGCAGTTAGGAAGGGGATCTTCTCTTGCAGGGCAGTCAGGAAGGAGTGCTGCCTCGAGCCTCTTAGGGTTTTGCTTTTGTTGAGCTGGGCGGGGCAGACTCATTTCACAAAATTGACAATGGTCTGAGGAGCTTCAGAAAGTTTTTAACTTGGGACTAAAATGGGATTTTCCCAGGATGTTGGAAGCCCCCTTGAATACTCAGTGGACAATGGGGACCTCGACTTCAACAACCAAGTCCCGACAATGCTTACTCTGTAGATGTAATTCCTTTATCATATACAACGAATCTCCCAAGCAGGGTGACTTCTGCAATGGCACCCTTCCTCTGAAGGCTCGGGACAGGTTTTAGACAACCCGCCACAATGCTTTCACCACAGGAAGAACGAACCCAGTTCTGTCGGTATCTGGAAACCAGCTCACTAGAATATATTTGTACGCATACCCCACACTGAAGGGTTCAAAGTGAGTGTGACCAGGCCACGTTTGGTCACCATTGACTTCCCAATAGCTCACTTCCACTTGGTACATCACTCGGATGAAATTCTGAAAGGGCGGCCAGGCGAGTACAAAGCCCTGGCACGAAGCTACTTTTTATTCACCGAACTCACGGCCATCAAGTCGATTCCGACTCACAGCGATCCTGTCGGGCAGAGTAGAACGGCCCCTGTGGGTTTCTGAGCAGTAACCTACTACATGCCCCTGCATACGAGAACAGGTTTGTTCTGACCCCCTGCCGAGAATCTTCTGACCCCCCAGATTACTGAATTTAGAATCATTTCAACAAGATCTCCAAGGGATTATTACATAGGCCAGTTTTCAGCAGGGTGTCAAATGAGGACGAACCAATTGAAAGAGCTACTTCAACAAGCCACTGTTGATTGGAACGCTGGCTTGTATTTAAACCCTGCCCTTATTGTTCCTGCCAGGCGTTTTCAATAGTGTCTCAGAGGGTGCTTTGCTGTTTTAAACACAATTACCAAATCGACCAGATCATGGACATAGCACCCCTCACATAATTTAATGCTCAGACACCACGTCTTAAATTTTCTGCTCTGTTAGAACATCCTGAAGTTTTGAGATTTCAATCGAGCTATTTTTACAATTGCACGGATTTTTCTGTTGTTCCCGTGCCCTTTCAAGCAGTCCGTAAAGCCCGAGGCCTGTGGAGGGTTCCTGGGCCTTCGGGATTAATGTGTGCAACAGCTCTTGGTCCTTTCACCCTTCAGGGATCTGATTCCTCCTCCTCCTCCTCCTCCTCCTCGTCCAGAGCTCTGCTCCTCGTGCTCAATTCCAGTGCGGTTTGGTTGATGGAAGCTTCGTTGTCCACGTGCTCGGACGGCGCCTTTGCCCAAGGACAGTGTGAAAAGCAATGCCACAGAGAGCACGTTTTGAAAAAGTCTTAAATTCAAATTATATTACATCTCAATTATTTATGATCCTTAAGAATTGTTTGGAACTTGGAGGTACAGCCACTTCCTATTTCTCTACATTCTCTCTACCCTGCTGCCCAAAGGGGGGAGTGCATACACAAACCCCAAATTTGATAGGCTATCACCTGATTTACAAACATGGCTCTTGTATAAAGTGCCAACAAGGGAATTGTACTGATTTTGATGAGCTGCTTTCCAATGGTTTAACCAGCAGACATATGGGAGAACAACGGAAACATTTAGAAAGAATATGTTCTTCCTGACTGCCTCGAGGGCACTTGTGAAGAGGGCTATTGTAATGGACATCAGAACTCAGTTTTTAACCTTTCCCTCTGAAGCTGAAGCCCCACTCCATTCTCTAACCCCAACACGAGAAGTCACTTACAAACCAGTCAGAATTCTGACATGTCTGCAAAGAGCTCCCTGTTCTCCCGGGTCACTAGAGCAGCTGGAGAGGATGGGGGACCAGGAGGGTAAAGACAATATATTAATAGTTAATAATAATAAAGTTAACAATCAAAGCATACCCAATAAGGTGTGCTCTTCCCTGACTACAAGAGTAACATATGGCAGGCAACTTAAGTCAAATTGAACATTTTTTTCCTACCAACATTTCCCAGAGGTCCTTGGGCCAGTAATGTGCTTCAAAACAACGTCTGAGCACCGAGCACCACACGAACATTCCTTTGCTAGGGTGACACTCGAGCTTACCTCTTGTGACCGTTCAGGTGCAGACTGCGAAGACGGCATTTCATCTCCTCTTCTAGAAGTGATCATTGATTGAAGGGCCAACTCTTCAACCTACAAGAAGCGAGTACAAGGCAGTTCCCTTACTCTTTCTCTGGGGTACTGAAGTGGGTGAAACCTATTCAGCCGACTATCAAAGGTTGGCATCATGTGAGGCAGTGAAAGCAGTTACAGTATCTGCTACTCTAACGACGGGCGGGATTCTGAAGCTTCCCCTGCCTTTTAAGGAAAGGAGTAAAGCAAGCCTTCAGGGTCCTGGGATAAAAGTACTGGGATCCCACTGAGCCATGACCTCTACCCCAGGCATTTCCTAGAGATCATCACACACGCACGCACGTGCATCCTTGTACAGGTATGGTGGTGACACGGAAGAGTAGCGTGAGCAATTTCATTTGTTCTGAAGGACACGCTCATTCCTTTGACAGCTCAAAGTCGCACAGCATTTTCAAGTTTATAAAGGGCTTTCCTAACGGTCATCAGACCCCGGGGAGCCTGGGTGATGACCACCTGACAGGGGCTGAAAAACCAAAGCCCACTCACTGCATTCCAGTCAATGCTGACTCAGCAACGCTGTAGGGCAGGGTCGAACTGCACACCTGTGGGTTCCCCAGACTTCTTTAAATTGCAAGTTAATACATCATTTCATAGTTCAATCATGTCTTGTACAGTTGCTATCACAATTAGTGACAACAAACAGACTAAACTCTTTACAGGAGCGGAAAGCCTTTCTCCCTCAGAGGGGCTGGACGTTTAGAATTAATTGCTGACCTTCCAGTTAATACCCAACAAATAACCAATTCGCCACCAGGGCTCCTACAGGGACTGAATTACGCAGAAGCAGAGGCTTGGAAGTTGCCTATGGGCAACTACAATCCTGACTCCTTGTAAAGCGACCATGAACTCCTAGAGGCTTTGGGTCAAGTCATCTTCCCCAGCCTTAGTGTCATTTTTAGCCGAGCGGGGTGGGGATCTGACAGCCCTTTTAACTTTGTAAGGCGCGATATAAGCAAGCAGGAAGTGAATGCTGTTGGGACTCAGGAAGATATCTGTGGGCAGGGAAGGTGTAGGCAAGTTCTCCTCCCAAGGGTGACCCAGGGGCCATCGATAGTTATGGGGGTGGGCATGTATTTGCCAAACATGTTGATTACTGGTTCACATCTTGGACCTGCTGGATCGAACCGCTGGCAATAATATCCCAACATCACCCTTCAAAAACTCACTGCCATCCAGCGAATTCCGACTCGCGGCGACCCTATCCAACAGAGTACGGGTGCCCCGGTGGGACTCCCGACACGCAGTCTTTGCCGGAGGAGACATCTGTTTCCTCCTGTAGATCTCTTTGTGCCGCGAAAAAGTTCGTTAACCACTAGACTGACGCCAGACAGCCAAACGAGGACGGAAAACGGGCAGCAGAGGTCCGAGCCCGTCCGGAGGGCAGGAAGTGACGCTCGGGGGGGCCCGCAGGGCGGGGCTTCCGGCCGGGCCGCGGGCCCCGAGCGGATAGGGGAGGGGCAGAGGCCCCGGCCGCACGGGTGAGTTACCTTGAGGCGGTTCAGCTGGTCGTGCAGAGCCGCCTTCAGCCGCAGCAGCGTCTCCTCCTCCTTGCGCAGCTCCTGGAGCCGGCTCAGCATCGTCCGAGAGTCACGTCGGCGGCCTCGGCGCGGCCCGGCGGGCGTGGGCGCTCAGTGATGACGCAAGCGCGTCGGCAGCCCGGAAGCCAACCAGTGAGCGGGGCGGGGCCGGCGGCCATATTGGGGGGAGCGGCTTCCGGCCTCCGCGCTCTTCTCGGAAGAGACGTTTGCCGAAAACTAGGACGAATACCCCAGATCGAGTCGACACCAACCCAGAGCGACCCCCCGGGGCAGGTAGACACGGGGGCTCCGCGATCCCAACACGGAACGTTAACTGTAAAACGAAAGCGCTTTTCATGCACGGGAGGTTCTGCGCCCAGGGACTCCTGGCAAGTATCTAAAAAGCCGGAGGGTGCACTCACTGCTCAAAGAGCAGTTGGTCCTGCGAGTGAGGCAGGTCCTCCGCAGTGTAATTCAGTCCCCCAACACCCCTGAAGCCAGCCTTCGCAGAGCAGAGGCAGGTAGATTTGGTGCAAGCTTGTACTCAACACTCACGTTACTAAAGCTGTGGGCCCTAGTGGTTCCGGGGAAAGCTAGTTCTACCCTGGTCCATTCCAGGTAAGTTCTGCATTATTTTAAGGAGTCTCAGAAGCAGCACCAGTTTTCCACTGGAGCTCCTAAATATATTTCCACCCATGTGCCCTCTTGTGGTCACGTGTGAAGCCCATACAGAATTCGAAAATGTCACACAGACCTCCCTTTAATCTCTTTCAGAGCAAGTGTTTCACACCTATTAAAACACGACACCCCTAAGGCTCTACTTGGTATTGATATAAAACCAAAACAAAGGGCTGAAATTGGACAAGCACTTTACATATGAACAAAAACTCAACACTCAACAGTATTTCCCACTGTTGTTTCAAGCAGGTCTTTATTCAAAATAAGCTGTCCAAAAGACAACTTCCCAGGGCATAAAACAAGTGTTCATGCAGCTGGCTTCTTTTCTTCGGGGGCAGGCTTCTTCTCGGCCGCGGGCTTCTTGCTAGCTGCGGCCTTCTTTCCTGCCACAGGCTTCTTCAGCTTCTTCACCACAGCGGCTTTCTTGCCTCCTTTCTTCCCCACCAGGGGCTTCTGGAGGGGAACTCCCTTCTCATCTGACTTGACCCCTAATGCTGCTTCCGCCTTAGCCACCCTGAGCTTGTGCTGTCAAAAAGGAGAAAGAAACCTTAAGACTGCAATCTTTCCCAAAATGTGGGCATTACCTGTAATTAAGTAATCACGTACATTGCGGGCTTGCCGGAGAATGGTGTTCCTGCGCATGGTCTTTGCATATGGATTGAGCTTCAACATAATCCTCAGGTTCTTCAGTGGGTTCTTCTTCAGGACTCTGCGATGAATCTTCTTGCTGTAGAACACAGGCAGAAAAGCAAGTTTACTTTGCTCTAAGATAGACTGAATCCTGCCAATTGTCCACATTTAAAACAAAAGAATGTGAAACTGGGCACAAGAATTACACTGTAGATCGTACCGGGGTGCTCGGAGGGCTCTTTGAATCTCAGGGCTTTTCAAGATTCTGCTAAGGTCTGTGTTGGTCATCTTGTGCATGGGGAGGCTGAAGGAACAAGAAGAAGGTTCACAATGAATGCAAACTCCGATTTCTCATCCCCATTTCCTCACCAAGGAGTCTGAACCCCCGAAGTCCATCTAGGTTTCTCAAGCAGTGCTTCCCTGTACTATGAGGTCAGACGCAAACCAGTTCTGAATGCAAACACCCACAGCACCAACAGTAAAAACTCACTTGTAGTTACTCTTCAGGGAGGCGGCCTTCCTCCAGGTGCCATACAGCTCATCCAACTTGTGAAAGGCACCTTCAGTCCAAATGCAGAAACGCCCCACATGCCCACCAGGAGCAAGTTTCAAAATGTTCAGTTTGCTGACATTGAGCAGAGTAATTCCTTTCAAAGGGAAAGAAGAATCCTCTTAATTAGCAGCTAAACCCAAATCAATCTAATTTATGACACTTCAGTCATCAATGAAGGCCCCGCATTCAGCCCAGAATCAGAACATCCACAATTATCATGTGTTTCAGAAACACGGACCATAAAGTGGAATCTCATCACGACAGTAATTGAGCCAGACAGCCTATACGGACAAGTGAAACTAGACTTACCGGGGATGTTCCTGAAGGCCTTGACGATGCCATTGTCTTCGTTGTAGATAATGCATGGTCCCCTGCGCTGGATCCGCCGACGGTTTCTCATTTTGCCCTTGCCCGCTCTCATTCTCTGAGAGGCATAGACCTAACGAAGCAAAAGATTTTGTATTCTGATGAAGACACACACCCTTTGTAGTGGACATGCTCAGTTCTACAGCTAAAACAAAGTACTTGCCAAGGTCACTCACAGGACTTAAGCCCAATCACTTTGGCTCAGAACTCTTGCCCTTATTCAATGAATCACGTGAAGTAAGAGATGGGAAAACAAGGATCACTAAACCGTCAATGTGTCCCTCGAGCCTACCTTCACCCTGCTTTAATGGCATGTGACTTACATACCATGTAATTCAATATTTCAGTCATATCAAGAATTGTAGTCACCTCCACATCAATTTTAGAGCACCCCCACATAGCCTTTAAGATGAGCTATAGCAATTGAGCCATTATATTGACCCCCGCACCCTACCAGCCTACCTTCTTGATATCATTCCAGGCCTTCAATTTCTTAAGAAGCAAGACTGCCTCTTTGGTCTTCTTGTAGCCTTCTACTTTGTCTTCGACCACCAAAGGAAGTTCAGGAACTTCCTCAATGCGATGACCTGGCAAAGCCAATTCAACACTGGTTACCCTGAACCTTTTGAAAAAATTAAGAAACCATTTATGACAGGTTACTTTATATAACCTGCACAAAGCACACGCGAAAACTTGTTAAATCAGAACTTCCACTAAGATCATGTGTTTCAGAAACACGGACCAACGAAGTGGCATTTCATCATTTCAGCAGCAAAATAAACATGGGGTTTAAGTAGAAATGTTGTAATGACGGACCAGGTCACTGTTATCTGCTGTAGTCTCTGGTTTGTTGAGGTAAATTAGGCAACTCACAGAACAAGGCAGTCACAAAAACGCACAGGAAAAGTTTTGCCCAACTCCTACGAAGCCCACTATCACAAACCTTTAGACATGACGAGGGCGGGCAAGGCAGAGGCAGCCAGGGCCGAACAGATGGCATAGCGCTTCTGAGTGGTGTTCACTCTCCGATGCCAACGGCGCCAGGTTTTGGTTGGTGCAAACATGCGACCTCCACGACACATCTATTTTTCCCGGTTAAGAATCACATACCTCAAGATTTAAGGTTAAAAAACAACAACCCATGTATGTCTTGCTCAGTAAGAATTTCCGTCAACCTTCTGTACCAGCCTAGTGACAGCAGGCAACTGTCGCTGAGAACAGAGTCAGACGCAAATTACGCCATCATTGCAAAAAGAACTGCCGTAGAAGTAACCATCCCCAGATTCCAAACCTGTGCTGAACCGTCTGTTAACATGGACACTGTTATGCCCAGTAAGGGTCTGTTGGCTAAATTCCACAAGGATACATTTCCAAAAGCACCTTGGCCAGAACGGTGTGTCCCACCACCCCGGACTCTAGGAATTCTCGCCACGGCTCGGCCAGTACCCCAAGACTCAGCACTGGTCTGATGACCTGCAAGAGATAAGAAATATAAATTTTAGCCACTCAAAGCTATCATCTATGACTAATACACACGGTGGGCAAACAGCATCAGAACACCCAGGAACAATCATGTGTTTCAGAAACACGGACCAATGAAGTGTAAGCTCATCACTACTGAGTAGCAGCCAACACCAACCCTTGGACATCTACACCTACATCTTACCTGCCAATTCGCTGACAGCATAGGGCTGCCTGTTGTTCTTGCGCAGGTTGGTGTGAACAAAATTCACGATATCCGGTCGGATGGGAGCCTTGAACACAGCTGGCAAAGTAACATTTTTGCCAGATGATTCGCCCTTTTCAGAGTACACTGATATCAGTGGACGAGCACACGCCTTGGGAAACAGAAAAGGTTCGTTATAGTGGCAAACAGTGGAAGCATGCACCTCATGTGCCAACAAAATGGGTAGAAGAGCTGGGAGAAGGCAAGGGCAGTAGAAGCAAGGCCCTCATCAAGACACCAGAACAGGCTGATGGACAGTAATCCAACGGCTCACTTTTTAGGTTTAAGAATTAAAACCCAGTATGTCTTGCTCAGTAAGAATTTTCGTCAACCCTCTGTACCAGCCTAGTGACAGCAGGCAACTGTCGCTGAGAACAGAGTCAGACGCAAATTACGACATCATTGCAAGCAAAACCTTTGAATGCAAGCCCACCACCCTTTCCCCTTTAAAACATACACCCTCCAGATTACTGCCCAGGGCAGTATTGACCAAGAATACATTTATTATCTTGGATACAACTATTCCCAAACTCTTTTAACATAACAGCATCAGGTCCAACCTGCTTATTTACACACGACAACTTAAACCCGGTCTCATTACTTTCCGATGGTCTATCACCCAAGTTCTTATGCAGCACGATGCTGACACCACCACTGTAAAAAATGGAAAACTGCTTGATGTCACCACATCCTCTCTGCAGTCTTGCCTACCAAGGCTCTACTCATCCAAAATCCCATGTCTGCCTTCACCCCTTCCCTTCTGCACACACCTTCCAAAGTTTACTACACTAATGACTTAAAAAAAAAAATCAGTCATGTTAGGGTTCTCTGCTCGACTCCCTAAGAGTTTACACTCTCAGATGGGAAGGTCCAGAAGTGGCCTACAGGCCCACACAGGCTGCTTTTTACCTGTGATTCCTTGTCACGCACATGGCCTTCCCGATTTCCTCACCCCTACTCTCAGAACCATCACCTAGCACAAGGCTTCCCCCTCAAGATCATTGGCCTTACTCAGGGCACTTCCCTGAACTTCTAGGCTGCTAAAATATTGCCAACTGCCTGCTGGTTCTTTAAGTTGAGAGCACTCAGTGTTCTGTCCAATTCCATTACAATTCAGGTACCCTAAAAACGGTTCTCTGTCCATTTTCCTCACTGAACCTCCCCAGCGCACAAAATGCACGGAGCGATTTTTAACGTGGGCAACCCCCACCAAATCATTCAAGTAAACCTACGAAAAAGGCAGAGACCCAGGTCATTTTTCAAAAGCGTTAACTTCCGGATGGCACAAAACATCCTTAATAAGCTAGCACATTAGAATACAAGGCCCAGATTCTACCTCCCCTGCAGACCCATGTCCCGATTCTTGGGCTCCAACTAGTTCTAAACTAAGCTCAAGGACTGTCTTTTCAACACAACCCGAGTTCTCTGTGCGCCAAGGACAAGAATCCCAATGGGCCCTGTGCCTTCCGGAACGATCGGCAGCCCCCGCGCTGGCGCCCCAGAGCTGCGGGCCGGGATGCCCACGTTGCCGCTAAGATGGCCGCCGTCCGCCACACAGCCTTGAGAAAGCGACGGCCTTTCGGCATCAGTCCGTCTCCCCTCGCTCTCTCCCCGTAACTCTGTCTTGAACACCAAACCCTTCCCGGCTGGGCTCCGGGACCAAGCTGGGAAAACCAAGCAGACGGACGTTCACTCACCATGCTGAAGAGAGAAGGCCACGCTCCTCTCGCCCCGGCGGCTCCCACAGGAAAAGGAAGGACGTAGTACTCCTGCTCTATATGTAACCTTCATCTCGCACCACCCTGCTCCGCCCCAGCCCGAGCCCAGGGAAGCAAACCACATCCCAAGCACACTGTATGAAGTTCAACCCGCGTGTTGGTCTTTATATGAGTCAAATTATGGTGCTCTTTGCCTTCTGAAGCCTGTAATACTGTTTAGAAAAGAGGGACTCCTTTTGGCGGAGTAATTCACAGCGGGGCGTGGTCAAATCTCGCGAGACTAAATGTCTTGCCTCGGATCACGACGTTTATTTATTTATTTTTTTTTTTCCTGAGAGAAATAAAAAAATTATTGAAAAATCTCAGGGTGCACTAAAACAAAACTTTAACTTTGTGGAGAAGCCGAACTTGTTCGAGGCGGGGCGCTGGGGGGGGGGGCGGAGAAGTAGTCCCGGCAGGGCGGGGTCACGACCCCGGAAGTTGGAGGTTTAGGCGCGCAGTTCAGTTGATCTGTTTGGATCCTGCGCTCAGACGGCTGGAAGATGTGGTCGCGAATGAACCGGGCGGCTGAGGACTTGTACGCTCGTCTCCTGCAGTGAGTCGGGGCCCCTACTGTAGGCCCGTGTTCTAGAATCGCACTCACACCCTCGGTCCTCTGCCCAAACACCTCTGCCGCCTCTCAGCGGCGCTTTAGGGGCTCAGTCAGCTCGTCTGAAGTCTGAGGGTTGGGGACGGGCTGAACTTAGTTCTAGTAGCCGTCAGGGGCACCAATACGGGGTTGATTCCGCAGGGCCTTATTGGCTATCTCATTTCAGAAAAATAATCATACGTTATTTAACGAGGTCCTGATAAGTTTCCAAGAGGCGATTTATTCTGATGACACTCATACTTGATTTGTAGAGGAACGTCCCAGAAATGGAAGACTGGATCCTTCACCTATTCAATCTTTGCTAATCCTTGACAGTGAAACGTATGTTATACCCTTTTAAAGATAGTTAACCATATGAGAAATGTTAACGCGATGGTGTGTAGGCTTTAGAAAGCACTTTTATTTCACTACGCTGCAAAACTTTTTATTCTTGAGTTCAGCACATAATCATAGTGCCAAGAAGATTCCAACAAGTTCTATATCTGATGCAAATATTCTTCCATGCAGGTACGCTGCTGCAGATTCGATTCTGACCCATAGCAACCCTGAAGGGAAGAGCGGAACTGCCCATAGTTTCCAAGGCTGTAAATCTTAGAGAAGCCAACCGCCATATCACTCCTGAGAGTGGCTGAGGGATTGGAACTAGACTTTCGGATTAGCCTGCGAATGCATTAACCAAATCGAGCGTGTTATTAGAATCATCTGGCTGGGCCCCAGTGTCGACGTTTCTGATTTAGGAGGTTGAGGCAGAGTCCGTGGAGTTCTGGGGGCTTAACGGTTATGCATTGGGTTGCAAGGTCATAACCATGCATACCTGCAATGCATAACCACAGGAGAAAGACAAAGCTCTCGACCCCAGTCAAGAGTTCTCTCACTGCCCTGGATTTGATGCCGACTGTAGTGATCCTGTAGGATAGGGTAGAACTCTACCTGCGTAGAGAGCCCTAACTTTCTCTCGCAGAGCGGCTGGTGACCAAGTATCCATATGCCACTGGAACGCCCTGTAAAGAGTTTCTCAGAAGCCCACTGGGCAATTCTACCCTGCCCTGTGTGGTCGCTATGAGTCCAAATCGACTCAGTGGCAGGGAGTTGGCTTTTGGGTTGGGAAGTGGAGCCAGTGAATTTGCCTTTCTAACAAATTCAGGTGAAGCACATAGCTGCTTGTCCTGAGACTGCACTAGAGAACTGCTTATCTAAACATTTCTAAATGCTGTAATTTGTTGTTTACCTTTATTATGTGTGTGCTTTTTTCTTTATTAATACTTTCAAAACGGTTGAACATTATAGAAAAGCTTTTTTTTCCAATTAACAATGTCTTGAGTATCTCTCAGTATGACAATTTATAAATCTCTTTTTCATCTTTTCATTTTGTTGTTGAGAATAGACAGCCAAACATAAGCCACTTCAACTGTACAGTCCAATGGCTTTGATGACCTTCTTTGAGTTGCTCCTCCCCCATGAGCATCAACTTCCTGCCTCCCTTGGTTCCTTTCCAACTGAGAGAATTCTTCAAAGGCCACAGTGCTCAAGGCAAACTCAGTTTTTCTGGTTAAATTCGTTTAGATTTTAATAAGACTTTGGGGGAATATTTTTGGGTTAAGCCTTAGTAAGGATTATTTTAGTGCATGAAATTGGGCGTTGTCTAAATGGACCTTCCACTGCTCATGATTCTACTGTCTCCTCCCTTCTCCCCAGCCATGCCTCCGCTTGCCCTGGGGAGCAGAGGGCTTTGTTTGCTTTTCCCTCCGGTGCTGCCAGAGATAAAGTGAGGCCGTACACTGGCATTTTCTTACATGTGCTCTTGCATTTCAGGGCATTTGAAGAAGAACAGAAAGGAATCTGCAAAGACCCATTTATTTATGAGGTATGAGCAATTTAAAAAAAATTTTTAAGCATAGCTCAGTAATCCTAAAAGTATGGATGTTTTTAAAAGTTAATCTTACTAAGGTTAATTTATATACTATAAAATTTACCCTTATAGAGGTTTTAAGACTGAAATGTACATATGTAAATATATTTATGTAAGAGTGTAGGGAAACATCTACGTGCATATATTTATAGGTTTAATATTAAGGCAGCAGATGGACATTGGGCCTCCACTCAAGCACTTACTCATTGCAAGAACA